TCCCTTACTCTCTCTCTCTCTCTCTCTCTCTCTCTTTTGCTTCGTTACTCTCTGTGATCATCATACACCGTGGTCTCCTTTCGTTACATACGGTGCAAAAGTGATTAATCGTAGCTGCGACTGGACGCATCGGATTTCATTCGGTCTTTTAAAAACGATAATACCGACCGGCTATCGGGTCCCTTTGCCTTCGGTTCGTAACCATACGTACCGTACTTCGTCCTAGGTATACCCCCTCCCGGCAACCCCTCCCCCCCTCGTTTTACGAAGCGTCTCACCCACACCTATTCATCCTCTCTCTCTCTCTCTCTCTCTCTCTCTCTCTCTCTCTCTCTCTCTCCCTCTCTTTATTCCTCGGTCTTTTACTGCCTCCGCTCCACCCTGGTTTATCGGCCGATCAGACTGCAAATTCGTTTGTGACCGTGCAGTGTGGGTTCTGTATCTAACCAGTGTCGAGAGGCAAACGAAAAACACGGCTGACGCCGCTCTCTTGGCGACGCCAGACCAAAAACCAGCAACGACATATAAGTACGATTAGAGAGAAACGCGCGCGAGAAACAGAGGGAAAGAGAGAAAGATAGTTTGCCCGTAGTAATAGGGCCGACGGCATTCGGTATCGTTTCGTTCGGGCGCCACGAGCGATAACACCGCTAACATGTCTGTGAGGATGGAAAACGTAGCCGCGCCGAGGAAGCTCAACTACAAAATGATGGTGAGTACCGAGATACGAATAACTCGTCTTGATTTTTCCGCTCCGTTCAGTCTCGTTTCGCGTTGTATCACGCCGTATTGTGTCGTGTCATATCCTACCGCATCGTATCGTATCGTATGGTATCGTATGGTATCGCATCGTATCGTATCGGTGCCGGGTGTAACGTGTGCCGGTCGCATCACGCGTTCAACGTTCATGCTGTTTGGAGAGCGTGCGTGCATAGTTACTTATGTATACATGCTCTTGGAAAACGTAGCATTACCATGGGGGCGGCCGATGGCCACGAACCTTGCGGAATCGACGTAGTTTGACAGTTTGCCGCGGGGCGTCTACTGCCCCACCCAGTCTCCTCTTTCTGTCCCCCACCTTAACCTCTCGAGAGACCGTCTTCGCGTATTCTTTACCTCTCTCTCCCTTTCCCTCTCCCTCTCCCTCTCCCCCTTTCCTCTACCTCCCCCTTTTCTTCGTTCTTTCCTTCCTTCTCATTTTTTTTGTTATTTCGTTCTTCGATCGCATCCTACTGCAACAGCACGTCTCGAACTCGTGTGTTTTCCTATTAAAATACTTTTTTAATGGTTCGGCGTGTCGTTCGTTCTTCTTTCCTTGTGTCGGTACCTGGAATTTCTAATTTTTGAAATTTCTATTCGCTGGTCACACAATTTGAATTTCGTCGCTTATATCGGGTGTTTTTAAACGAAGAAAATTCGTTGAACCAGATATTAGACATTGGTGGCAGTTTATTAAACGATACTCGCGCTTCGATTCCATTCATTACTTGTACAGTCTTCGATTTGTTATCTTTCGTTTAAAAAACAAATCTATCTTTCATTCACTCGAGCATGGCATCACCGGTCTGTCTAGTCTCTATCGATTTAATCGATGAGCGATAAAGAAAACATAGAATCACATGGCGAATGAAATGCTGTGCGCTTTTTAGTTCGTTACCGTTTAATCGCGTGTTTCTAGTCGACTCGTAATCGTTCGATAAATATTTTCTGCCAAACGAATTGATTTTTCATCGCGTCTTCGTAAAATCAGGTTCTTAATCTTATTCGTACGGTCCTGGCATTCTGCGCAGGCTCGTGCCGTCTCTTCCTGTTCTCTACCTACTTTCAATTGCTATGCTTTTCACAGAATATAATTCCTATTAATATGTATTTCTTACTTTTGCGTATCGGGCGTTCTCAATCGAATAAATATAAGTTAATTATCGTGCATCGCTCGAAATTCTAGTCGGATAATTGTAATTGCATTTCAATTACTCGTTTATTGGACTTTGATAAACCAACGCTAAACGAAAAAAAGTTCAAAATGCTTCCAACAAAAAATATAAATATAAATAAATATATATATATATATATATATACATATTTTTTCTTTGTTGGAAGCATTTTGAATTTTTTTCGTTCCACGCGTAAACGCAAAGTTTGTAGCAGTGAAATATTTCATGTTCGATCAGTTGATAATCGTTGAAGCAGCTTCATTAACGTTTGACCAAGTAAGTCTCTCTCTCGGCTTCTCAACGCGATATTTAATTGTTTGTGTGAAAGTTACATAAAGTTACTATCCGGAAGCATTTTTAATCTACACATTGAAATTCGACCCAAGGCTTGTCAGTGCAGCCGACTCGATCGTGCGGTTTTAATCGTGTACAATAACGTATCTTTTGCCCTACGACGACAATTTTTTAACACGTTTCTCTCTCTCGTGCGCGCGGGCGCTCTCTCGCGGAAAACGTCAACAGTACCAATATGTACGCGATATCTATTCCGAATTAAAGATTCGTAACGGTCCGTGCGCCGAGCCGAGCACGATATTGTTTGGAAATAATGTTATCAACGTTGTTCGATAATTCCTTGTTTCGCTCTTTTCTGCGGTCCGATTATTATTAACGTAGCCATTGAAAAGGTTATCGCACGCTAAACGCGTTTGAACAGTGACGTGCGAACAGCTGTTCTTTTCAGTGTTGCCAACTACCGGCTCTCGACGATGTCTGCTGCATCGCGACGGGTTCCATTCGTTGAATCGATCGGTGCCATATCGATAACTAATATTTCGTCGACCGAGTCGACCGAGTCGACCGAGTCGAAATTTTGGTATCGATGAAAAATCTGTGTCGTTGATTCGATCGACTTCGAGTCGGCGCGTTTGATCCACGGTTTGATTTTCGACGTTCGTTGCTACATTCGGATTAAGAAACCGTGTTGCGCTAACAGGCGTTGCCGATACGTGTTGCCGAACGGATGATACCGTGGACGACAGCCGAAAGTACATATTTACCTTTCATTATCCCTGTACTTTGAACTCGCCAATCGAAAGTGTTTAATTAACAAATCCAATATTTTGTCGAGATTACAGAACTCCATCCGTAACGCGTTCGTGCCCTCCGATCGTCGTATGTACCGTTCGATGCATTTCCACGGTTACACGGTCCGACAGGCGTTTATTATCTGCATTTTTCGCGTTTCGACGAGAGTTACTCGGCCTTTAGATATTTGATCGTCGGAAGTCTGTAAATATTTCTCGATGAAAGTTCATCGTATTTCGATCATTGGAACTATAATTTATTTAACTCAGCCTCCGACTATTCGGTTTTATGCGAGTATTTACAAATATTCGAGCGTTGCCCGTACTTCTAGGAGTTTCGATATGCACGGTTTATCTATCGAACCGTCGAACTATCGGAGCACGGTTTCCGGATTTATTTCGATTCGTTGTCTCAGAAACAACGCGGACTCTCGCGAGAATCGACGAACAAGCGTCCGAATGGACGAAAACGTGTTGGCATCTCGTCGTCGCTGTTACGCGCTTCTATACGAAATTCGGAAGCTTTCGCTTCCCAGGAACGTCGACGAGCTTTCCTAACGCATCCACGACCAGTTCGAAGTTGTCGTTTATTTCGATCGAAGAGCGCGACATTCGTAATAGGTGCTCGCGTGTCTTTATCTTGGACGCGGTCGTGCACAGGATAAGTTTGCGGGTTGCTCGTACGTTGTTCCTCGAATCCAGCGTCGGTCTAATCTCCCATTGTTGTTGTTCGAACGAGAAGCAGCAGTAAATAACGCGAATGAATTTTTACTTGTTACATATTTATAATATTTTACTTGTTTTCGGTGAAGATCTTTTTTCTTTCACCGACAACGGATTTAGGACAACGCGTTCGAATCGAAATGAAATAATCTCGAACGACAAATCGAACGCTTCGCGATAAACGGTTTATCTCGAGGACGGTCCGTGAGAGTCGCGCAGCGACGAGGCGAGCAGTCCGCGTACGTAATCGCGATCGAAACGATCGCGGTCCAATTATCGTTACGAATTCTGTGCGACGATTCTGTGTGTTTCTTCTCGGTTGTACTCTAAAGATCGGTACACACGCTGCAGATATACGCGTGATCCGAGCCTGGAATTAGGAAATTAAGCTTGTTTCGTTTCACGAGTATTCCCAGTGTATCGCTACTTTTCCAACTCGTTGAACTCGCAGCCCCGTAACGATCGATCGCGTAGCACGGATCTCGAATCGACCATTGTTTACTTATTTTTCGACGGAATCGAAACGAAACGCTGCTTAACCTTTGTAGATAAACATAGCGAAAAAGCGAACGTCTTACACGAGGCGTGCGAGGGGTCCACCTTTTAACGTTGTCGAACGATAACGCGATTGGTTTGGACGATCGGTTCGGGTAAAGACAAAATTTCAACGAATATCTGTCGATGTTGCAAAGCATCGATAAGAGAGACGGATCCAAGAAAATGGAAAGGAAAAAATGGCGCGTGCAACTTTTAATATAGGGAAAAGGCGGCGCGGCTCGGTCCGACTCGGCTCGATTCGATTCGATTCGATTCGGTTTGTAGGCGGATAGGAAGAGTACGCTAGGCGGTGGTATACGTAGGAGCGGTAACGGCGACGGCGACGATGGCGGTGACGGCGACGGTGACGACGACGGTGACGGCGACGACGACGACGGCGGTGGTGGTAGCGGTGCGGTAGAGTCGGCGGAGACGGCGACCGATGCAAAACCAGGCAGACGATTAAAGGGATGAGAGAGAGAGAGAGAGAGAGAGAGAGAGAGAGAGAGAGAGAGAGAGAGAGAGAGTGAGCGAGAGGGGCGGCGAGCAGAGCGGAGCCTAAAGGGAGGCAGGGTCGGAGAAGGGTGCACAGAGAATAGACGCAGCAAGGATATCGATTATTCGCAGTTGCAGCGTCTGTGCAAGGCCTTCCCTTCCGTTCGTCGGCAGAGGACGAACACCCGGAAATCTCGACGACGATACACCGAACCAAGATCGATCCGATTGATTTTTCCTTTCCGGTATTCGAATACTTTCGAATCGAGTTACGCGCGAACCGAACAAGGGATCCGGGTCGGCCATAACACGGCCAACGGTGCTCGAGAACAACCACCCTTTTCTTCTCCTTCTCGACGAATCTTCCGTTCGTTTTATCCGGCGTTTCGTGAAATCTAGCGACGCAACGTATACCCGTGCCGCACGCGTATCTCTTTCCTTTTCCTCGTTCTCGACTTCGTTGTCGTCGTCGACGAGAATCTTTTAGAATTTGTTACAATTCGCGATCTCTTTCTTACCGGCATACCGATATCGCGCTTTCCGATGGTTACACGGTTGGAAGTTGCAACGATCCTTTTTCTAATTCTTAAACGTTTTACGTTCTCACCGTTTCTTCGTACCGTGTAGAAAGTTTTCGAGATGCGTTCGCTCGCGACTGGCTCGAAGAATCGAATTCGTACACCGGACTCGTTCGATTGGCCGGCTGCCAGAGTTATATAATTATGATCGTGCCGACGGTTGATATCGTTCCGGTAAATTTTTGGAGGTTTTCCGAAAAGACTATTTTAACGATCGTTTCCACGGTCTCTTCGATACGATGAACGAAACGCGACGCGCCCGTACGAAGCAGAGTCGGAGTCGGAGTCGGCGAGAACGGTTCGTCGTTCTATGGAAAAATGCTCGAGATAAGGAGATTCGTTGCGCTCGATCCGTTACGT